TATAATTGATCATAAATCAAAGTTCATATCTTCTGTTCTAATAAATATTTTCTGAGTTTGTTCCTGGACTTGGATCCAGAGTTTAATTTAGTCCCTCTGTGTAACTGAGTTGGACCTGCTGACCTGAGGTCAGAACAGGACAGCATTCGGACCCCCAGTGTGTAGAAATCCCCCTCATGTCAAGCAGGTCAAAGGTCATTCAACCCAGTCTAGAAAAGTGAATTCCTGGAATCTGACAGGAACAAATCAATAATCAATGATTGATTCTTCAACACTTTGATCAGAACCTGGAATGATTTTACTGACTAAAATCCTCCAACACAAAATGACCCAGTACCAGGTTCTGGTTCTGGTTCTGAAGTCAGCAGGTCTTTATTGAAGCAGCAGCTGGTTTGGACTCTGGCTTTAATATTCATGAGACTCTTTAACTGGTTCTGTTGGACTGGTTAACCTGCATCCTGTTGGCTTCAGCTCATCTTTTATTCTTTATTCAGATTGAATTACTGCAGGTTGTCAAAGATCAGCTGTGATTTTCTGGCCTCAGCTCTGAAGTCCAACAGCCTCCATCTGACAGAACTGAACCTGGAAGGAAACAACCTGAAGGATTCAGATGTTCAGCAGCTGAAGGATCTTGTAGATAATTTATGGTAAGTAAATGTTTGTAGTGAGTCCAGCTGCTGTCAGCATATTGAACTAAACCCAGTTGACATCGAAGCAAAGCTCCAGTGTTCCCAGTAAAGCTGCAGCTTCTCAGTGGGAGGAGAATGGTTCAGGCTTCCTGATTGGACACAGAGACAGCAATCAGCCAATCAGAGGAGCAGCAGCTTGCTGTGTTCCTGTGTTTGTGTTGGTGTGAAGATGAGTGTTGTTGCTGTGTCCATGTCTCCAGGACGTCCAGCTGGACTCCAGCGTCCAGCCGTCCAACATGTCTAGAGACAGTGGTCCTCATTCATCAAACTGTGGCAGCAGCAGATCTGATCTCAGATCTGCTTGTTCTCTCAGTTCAACAGGAAACAACTGATCAGGTTCATCTTGGTCACAGCTCTGAGATCAGTCTGACTGCAGCCTGGAAACCATCTACTGGATGTGCTGCGTCACTGACTGCTGCTGGAGAGGCTGGAAACACTCACTGATCTGATCTCTCCTTCCTTCTTCTCTCTGCAGGTGGAAGGACTGATGATTCTGACTGACCTCAGTAAAGTAGAGAACGGTCTCTGTGTCCTGCTGATCCTCAGAGGTTGAAGCTGCAGCAGTTTGAGTCTAAAGAGACTCTGACTGGATCCTGATGATGACCTCTGACCTCCAAGATTTTCCTCCTGTTTATTTTCTCATGTCTGTCATTTAGTGTCTGATATTGTTTGTCTCTTTGGATCAATAAAGATCCGATTCAAACTGGGCTCCATTTAGAGGCTTCATGGAGTTTTGATCTGAACTGGATTCAACTGGAAAGTTGATCTTTTTTCTCTCTGATTCATTTTCATCCTGGAACCAGAAATGGTCTGAGATGGAAACATGGGAATCATTTTCAGTTCAGCTTTGAATCATAAAGACACTTCAAACCTCTTTTCTCTGCTGCTTCTTCTTCTGTTGACAGGAAAATGTTCCTCAAAGCTCCACAGATAAAAAGATGCTTTACTGGAAACTGCAGAGAAACTTCAGCTTCCATCACAGAAACCAGTTGAACCAGTTTAGAACTGGATGTCCCACAGGAACTCTGATCTTAGAGCAGTTTTCAGGAACATCCAGCATTTTATCTGAAAAAGAAGATAGATTGTACATATATTTATCTTTTTATAGTCATTCTGAAATCTCTAAATAATGAAATTGTGTGTCATAGTCATTGATTCTTTAATATTTCTGTTTGTTTTGGTGGTTTACTTTTTAACTCCACATTTCATGTTGAGTTTTCTATAGAACTTTAGGACTTGATGTGTCACATCAGGCTTTTTACTGTGAATTTACTGATTTATTCAGACCTCAGAGAATCAGTGGGATAATGTGCTGATTGGTTCATGGTATTTGTTTTCATATTTATTCTAATGTAATGTGGATTCATGGCCAATAAAAGTTTTTATTGGCCGTGCAGTACAAATATAGTAACTGCACCTTTATTTTAATCATCTATGACATTTAGATTATTGTATTCAGACCAACAAAGAAATAAAATATATATTTTAAAGGTTTCATCTTTACTTTTACAGCTTTATTTAGCAGAAACAGAAACATCCTGTGAAGTTGATCTGAGCTTTTTAAAGCTTCTAATTAAGGTTTGTTTCGTTATTCATCCTGAAGGTGTTTAAATAAAACACATGGAAACCACTTAATTAATCAATGTTGTTGTTTTTCCTCCAACTTCATAGTTTAAGTTGCTTCAAACTATGAATGTACTATTATAATACTTTCCGGTGCTTTATTTTGAAAGATCTCACAGGAAGCATATGTATCATTTTTTCTAGTTTCATTGTAATTGTAATTACCACATTTAGCCACCAGAGGGCATAAACACGGAGCTACGAGCCACACTCCTTACTGGCGGTTATCTAACCGTAAGATCTCGCTGCTCTGAATGAAGCGAGTCTGTAGCGCTGTAGCTATCTGGTTTCCAACTTCAGACCAGCGGGCTAACTGGTCCCCAATGGGATAAATCAATGGTCCCCAATTACCAAGAAATAATTAAATATTTCCGTTTTATGTATTATTTGAGTCTGGAGCATCTTTTATTTTGAAAATCCTTTAATCGGATTCTCAGTTACTTGCGCGCCAACATTGAGCCCACAAGCAGCAAAATGAGTAAGAAACAGATCAGATGTCTTTGAAAAGTTTCCTTGCAGGGGAAAAGGCCCAGAAAAAAGACAGGAGGATGGATTTATCCCAGACCGGTAGGTGAGTCCCACATTAAGCCGCTCTGTGTAACATGCGGCGACCGGCTGCTAATGAGGCAATGAAGCTTCAAACTACTTCGCTACGTAGAGACCAAGCAGGCTGTGGATATAAGCAACACTTCAGGT